CAGATTCAGTGATTTAGATCTGAAATATTTGAATCAGAGTCAGGCACATTCTTTTAAAAGGTCCCAGCAGTAGTCCCTTTCTTTCTCTCTCTCTCTTTGCATCTCGTCCCTCAGAGACGCTCAGCTGGTGTAACTCTGGAGTGACAGTACGGCTTGTTTTCTCCGCTGTACTGGGTTTGGCCTTGATGGTTCTGGTGGTGGACCACGTCAGATTCAGGCGACAAACCCAACAAAGATGCTGAGTGTGTCATCTCATCACATGGGAGAAGAAAATGCAGGAAAACATCTAACGCATAGAACAAATACCTTTGAAAGTCCTGCACCAAAGGAAAACACTGTTACTTCAATAAAAGTGATTAAAAAAATACAAAACAGTACTATTACCGGTTTTATTTGTATGGACCACACGACACAATAAATATCAAGATATATGTACAAGTGGGGCTGAGAATCAAACTTGCCAAACAACAAAAATGCTTGTCTCTGCTGCAGGAACTTTTATTGTGAAATGCTGCTTGACATACGTGAAGGTACTTCCTGAGCGCCACAATTTGTAGATTTTCAACACTGACACGTGTAATTTAGAGTTTTTCTAAGTCACCATGGCCTCTTAAGAACTCCACAATCAAAGAGCTGATGTTTTTGTTGTTTTTTTAATAATACCAGTGTTATGGTTTAAAAAGTGACCATGTTAACGGGAAACTTTTAGCTAAGTGCATCTGCGGTTACCGTAGTTACAACAGATGTTGAAGATGGAAAGTGTCCTGACTATAGTTGCTTTGTTACGTTTTTTCATTGTTGTCAAAAATACCAATCATGTAAGTATGTAACTATGACAACCACGTATACATTCTGCTGAAAGTCGTCATTAAACACGGTCACTCTTCAAACCTTAACGCTGGTTAACATTAATGTTATCTTAAGTTAATTATTAAAGAGATACTTCACCCATTTTCATTAAGCTTTGTGTCATTAGTATTTTTGAATGGTCGTGCATCCTGCCCTCATTTCCCCCTGAGATGGGAAATCTTTGTATTTTTAGGTCTGACAAGGAGCCTCTGATGACACAAAAGTCGTCATTTTGTGTCATTGGTGGCTGTTGTGGTTAGCGGTGGTGAAACTACTATGCTAGTTCCTCATATTTTTGACCACTGAAGCTACAGACCTATCACAGATCAGTGGGTGGGAACTCACTCCCAGAATCGAAACTTAACGTCCGCCATATTGCTTGGAAGCTTTGCTAACAGGCTCTATGGACAAAGCTGATAAGAATCGACAATGGCGAAAAAAGTATGTTTCAACTTCATCTGATATGGATGAAGGGGAATTTGAAGGTCTTGTGCTCAAATCGGCTATCTTGGCTTGGTTCTTGGCTATCTCTACGAACCGCAATATAGCAGCGATGCAGCTTCTGCCGACAGTTTGCCTATGAACACAGACATGGAGTCTGTTTTCTGCCAGGAATTTCCAAGATGCCAATTCCTTCTTGAAGAAATCTCGGAATCAGTTGAGGAAACGGCTGTATGTGTTTTAAATGTCTGTAGAGGACCTTAGTGGGAGTGGCCTGCGGTGCTGTGCATCCTGGGAGTTGGTCTCTTTCATCCTCATGAGCCAAAAAGACACTTTCTGCCTTTTCTCTGTCAAGAAGGCACCAACTTTAAAATGTATTTCACATTTCTTCTACATATATGACCCAATGTCAATACAGATTCATGTTTCAATGGGTGAAGTATCCCTTTAAAGCCTGGCTCACACTGCAGGATAATCGGGCCGATTTGAGCTCCGATTCTGGTCTGGTCGGGCGTCGTAAACGATTCAGTCGTACAGTGTGAGCTGACATGCCACCCCGACTTTTATACAATCAGGGATAAATCGCAAAAACAATGATAACGTCTAAATTAAATAAATGCATCAATTTATCATTGCCTGTAAACTTCACCGTGACTGATGTCACACCTTTTTCTTCGCACATATATAAATAGAGGTGTTTGGTGAGATGAGGGGTTGCAGGGTTTTTTTCACACGCTTCTGTGAGTGTGAGCATACCTTGGTTCTTTTTTGCACATTCATTCTCACGCTCTCCTGGAAGACGTCACTGTGAGGACTGCCGTAAGATTTTCATTGACTGTAAGTGATGGTCATTTTGGGCTCTTCATCTTCAGACATTACACTCTGTGACACCATATTTCTTGGCTCTTTGACAGCTTTTTAATGACTTGTTAATCATTATATTCATTGTTTTCACGATCAAAGAGTCCCCCCTGTTGTGCCCCCCGGTGTCTCTTCCTGGTGTCTCCCCCTGGTGTCTCTCCCTGTTGTCTCTCCCTGGTGTCTCTCCCTGGTGTCTCCCCTGTTGTCTCTCCCTGGTGTCCCCCCTGGTGTCTCCCCCTGTTGTCTCTCCCTGGTGTCTCTCCCAGGTGTCCCCCCCGGTGTCTCCCCCTGTTGTCCCCCCCCTGGTGTCTCTCCCTGTTGTCCCTCCCTGGTGTCTCCCCCTGTTGTCTCTCCCTGGTGTCTCTCCCTGGTGTCCCCCTGGTGTCCCCCCTGGTGTCTCCCCCTGTTGTCTCTCCCTGGTGTCTCTCCCTGGTGTCCCCCCTGGTGTCCCCCCCTGGTGTCTCTCCCTTGTGTTTCCACCTGGTGTCCCCCCCTGTTGTCTCTCCCTGGTGTCCCCCCCTGGTGTCCCTCCCTGGTGTCTCTCCCTGGTGTCTCCCCCTGTTGTCTCTCCCTGGTGTCTCTCCCTGGTGTCTCCCCCTGTTGTCTCTCCCTGGTGTCTCTCCCTGGTGTCTCCCCCTGTTGTCTCTCCCTGGTGTCTCTCCCTGGTGTCCCCCCCTGGTGTCTCTCCCTTGTGTTTCCACCTGGTGTCCCCCCCTGTTGTCTCTCCCTGGTGTCCCCCCTGGTGTCTCTCCCTGGTGTCTCTCCCTGGTGTCCCCCCCTGGTGTCTCTCCCTGGTGTCTCCCCCTGTTGTCTTTCCCTGTGTCTCTCCCTGGTGTCTCCCCCTGTTGTCTCTCCCTGGTGTCTCTCCCTGGTGTCCCCCCTGGTGTCCCTCCCTGGTGTCTCCCCCTGTTGTCTCTCCCTGGTGTCTCTCCCTGGTGTCCCCCCCTGGTGTCCCTCCCTGGTGTCTCCCCCTGTTGTCTCTCCCTGGTGTCTCTCCCTAGTGTCCCCCCCTGGTGGGGGACACACTGTTGTCTCTCCCTGGTGTCCCCCCCTGGTGTCTCTCCCTGGTGTCTCTCCCTGGTGTCCCCCCTGGTGTCTCTCCCTGGTGTCTCCCCCTGTTGTCTTTCCCTGGTGTCTCTCCCTGGTGTCTCCCCCTGTTGTCTCTCCCTGGTGTCTCTCCCTGGTGTCCCCCCTGGTGTCCTCCCTAGTGTCTCCCCCTGTTGTCTCTCCCTGGTGTCTCTCCCTGGTGTCCCCCCTGGTGTCCCTCCCTGGTGTCTCCCCCTGTTGTCTCTCCCTGGTGTCTCCCCCTGTTGTCTCTCCCTGGTGTCTCTCCCTGGTGTCCCCCCTGGTGTCTCTCCCTTGTGTTTCCACCTGGTGTCCCCCCTGTTGTCTCTCCCTGGTGTCCCCCCCTGGTGTCTCTCCCTGGTGTCTCTCCCTGGTGTCCCCCCTGGTGTCTCTCCCTGGTGTCTCCCCCTGTTGTCTTTCCCTGGTGTCTCTCCCTGGTGTCTCCCCCTGTTGTCTCTCCCTGGTGTCTCTCCCTGGTGTCCCCCTGGTGTCCCTCCCTGGTGTCTCCCCCTGTTGTCTCTCCCTGGTGTCTCTCCCTGGTGTCCCCCCCTGGTGTCCCTCCCTGGTGTCTCCCCCTGTTGTCTCTCCCTGGTGTCTCTCCCTAGTGTCCCCCCCTGGTGTCTCTCCCTGGTGTCCCCCCCTGGTGTCTCTCCCTGGTGTACCCCCCGGTGTTTCCACCTGGTGTCCCCCCCTGTTATCTCTCCCTGGTGTCTCTCCCTGGTCTTCCTTTGTTCAAGTGTGTTTCGTATAAAAAAAACTCTTGCCTTATATTCAGAACAATATGGTAATATACAATTAAGTCACTCTTGTTGTCCATCTGTAATACATCAGGTCCACTCTCTCTGCAGGTTGTAGCGACCACATGGCTTTGCTGGTTTTCCATCACGCTGTTCGAGCACAAATAAATAGCACTTACTAAGTGATCTTCTGTGTGCAAGCTGAGGTAGATGACAGTTTGTTGGTTGTACTATCCAGTCTAGTTTTCTTTGGGTTTACAGGTTTGGAATGAGGTTGTGTGCTATTTTATCTTTGTGCTTTTATCTATGTGGTGTAAATAACTTCTCAGACATTAATTTATGACTGATAACAACAAATCAGTGGGACCACCAGAATAACTCCTGTGTATTTTCTTCACATGCACTCTGTGAGTAGGTTACATACACTGTAAAAAAAAAATTCTCATTGTCGACTGCACAGCTCCTACATTACACCTTTTGTACACATTTTGTTTTTTATTTTTTACATTTTACATTTTTTTTATTTTATTTTATATATTGTAATTGCTTCTTATATTTTATTATGTAAGTTGTTGCTAGTTCTGCTTTATTTCCTTGTTCATTGTTTAGCAACAATACACCAAGAAAAATTCCTTGTATGTGTAAATGTACTTTTAAAAACACATTTCTGATCCTGATTCTGATTCTGATTCTGAAAACAGTCTCAACTAAGAGAAGAAAAGAACAAAACTCTGTTTGAAAGCTTTGATGCTTTTCCAGAATTGTGAACCATACCATACAAGAAATAATAGATAAATACAATTGTCTTTTCTGCTGAATGGAGTAACCATTGAGATTAGCTAAAGTATTTTAGGTCTACTTGTATAAGTTTGTTTAACATATTTGATTAGGACCAATGTACATTTCCAGATGTGGAAAACGTGGGATTCTGACACCAAGTGGCAAACATCTATCAGGTAAAGATGTTCTGAATTCTTAAACTATAACCAAACTTTAATGACAAACATCGTAATGTTGCTGTAAGTAAATCAGACAAGAAAAACAAAGTACGTCACAATATATATCTTTATTCATAACAAATATTTTGATTTCAAGTGCAACTTTTATGTCTCTAAAATCTTTCGTAAAAAATATATAAGCAATGGACCTGTGGCTTCTTAAGAAAGAAAAAAAGAAAGTAATTTCATACATACAGCATGAAGTAATCAGCAAATCATCATTTCATAAAACATTCAGCTTGTGCAGCTGATTGGGGCTTACAGTTTTCCAAAAGATCAAATAAGCTGTGTCAACAATTCAAGGTATTCAAGATACCATCCATCAGGCTGAGAGGCTTCTGGTTCAGCAGGTGTCTGTTCTCCTCACACAGATGAAAGGCCTTGAAGTACTGCATACATTATTGTACCAGCCGCCTGCAAGACAAAATGTTCCACCATTAACATTACAAACGCATGACACTGATTGTTTATGTTTCTTCAATGAAAAAGCAAAGATAATTTTCCATGTAGTATTATAAAAGACAGAGAAAATGCAATGACCTGAATAAATGTAAATTTGTAAAGTACCATTAAAGTATTTGTAAAAGTTTATATTTTAAAACCTAAGCATGAAATTCATGTGGGTTTTCACGAAAGATACTTGACATCCTGAAGTTGCATCAGTAATGGTCTATCCAAATCTTTTTTTTTTTTAAGTGTTCTAAATGTTTGCGTTTCTCATCTTGCAGATTGACATGCAAAATCCTGAGTTCAGACTTTTTACAAATCTCTTTCATGTTGTAGTTATTTCAGCACTTCTTTAATCTGTTTGTGGTAATATAATCAGTGTATTTCTGTTTATTTTGGTTCATAGCACTACTAAATTAGTTCTCAGCTGATGTGTGACATGCTAGATACAGTGATCGGTTTTTAGGCATATATAGAAGGTGAATATTTGCAGTTGTGTAATTAAAGTGAATTAAAATTTAATTTAATTCTGCCAAACTGGCAGCAACAACATGAGGCCATCATTTAGTTTATAAAACCTGAAAGGTCAAACCACTAGTACATGTATACAACTAAAAAATATTTTGTTACTTAGCTAAAAAGACATGTATTCCAATCCAGAGGTATTATAAGCTTTAATGAAACTTTAAGTGACAGATGGAGGTGTTGTGACTCACCTGCGGTCCGGAGGTAAATGCACGGGTAGCTGCTGGGACTGTTCTGAGAGTACCAGTTGGTGTAGCTGAAGCGCTCTGGTCCACCACCTCCAGTCTGCACACATGAACACAGTAAATTAAACCTGCCGCAGACATCTGTCTGTCCATAGACATCACAGTGTAGTCCAACTATTTTTTTTCTGTCACCTGTTACACACACTTTGATTAATATATTTATATTTTTTATTATTTATGTATGATAAGCTAATAACCTGGAAGTAGTATCCTCCCATCCAGGCGGTCTGGCAGCCTGCTCGGCTGGTGAGCGACTGGAGGAAAGTGTATTCAAACAAATCACTGGCAGATGCCATGGTAGCTCCTTGACCGGCACAGTAGGACTGAGGGACACACACACACACACACACACACACACACACACACACACACACACACATTAAAAGGGTTCACTTGTAGTTTTAAGCAATTCAAAATGTAATGAAATGAAAGTGCATAGACACCGATAGATAGATAGATAGATACTTTATTGATGCCGAGGGAAATTCAAAGCAATTACTATTCATAAAAGATGATTTTCAAAAGCAACCTCACTCTACCACGTGTGACTAGTAGGGTAAAAAAAAAAGGTTTAAAAAACGTACTGTCAGGGAAAATCTTTAAAAACAAAAACACAAAAAAATTTAATCAGGCATATCAGCAGGCTGCAACTCCTGATGGGAGCAACAAACTCTTCCTATAAAACAAATCTGTCCCAGTTTGGGAGTAATAAGTGAGGTTATGGTCCTCACCAGGGTAGAGAAACAAACAGACACCTTCACACACACATTTCCCATTGATTTTTGCCAATAAAGCTTTGAATTGAACATAGTTAATTACCTCAGCGCTGCTCCAGGAATAGGATGAGCTCACAAAATAATAGCAGTTGCTCCTGTAACGTTCCCAACCAGATGGACAACTGAAGAAACGTTCTGTAGAGGACAAAGAGAAACAGCACATCATCACTCTGACAGAGAAATCAGAGAATCAAAGTGAAGAGGAAGAGTGAATATTTAAAGATAGCAAACCTTTAATTGGAGAATCGATCTCTGCAACATCTAACATGGCAGCATTTTCCTCTAAAAGTAGAGACAAAAAAAGAGTCATGTTTGGATCAAAATATAATCGACTCAGGATGCAGACAATCATGTGTTTAGCTTTTTACCTTCATTTATATGAAGTTCATCTTCTTCCACTGAGAGAGGAACAGAAAACAAGAGTTGTGTTAGAGAGCGATTCAGAGAACTCGCACACAACACAATGAGTCAGATATCAACTGTGTTTAATGTGTGGGAGCAACTTACACTGATTGTCCTTCTGCAGCTCTGGAACTGCAGCTGCAACATCTGCAATAGCTTCAAAATCTCCAACAATTTCAACATCTGCAACAGTGCCAACATCTGCAACAGGTTTAACATCTGCCAAATCTGAAAGGAAAGTCATCTCTCATTTATTTTATTTCCACTATTATTCTGCTTTTAACAACTGGTTTTTAATAAGTTTGTTCAACCATTGCATGCAAAACATCACCCAAATGATCTTAAACCAAGATAAATCTCAGCTTTTATTCTGTCTTTCAATTTGTATCTCATTTGCTTTCTCTCAAACATTGCTGAAACAGACTTTTTTCACATGTCATCATGCCTTTTTCTACCTTATGACCCTCTGTAAAAAGAACTCCAATCCACTCTGCTCAAACAATTTTTTTATAATACAAATATGTGAAAGATTTGATTCCTGCGGCTGTAATGTTTGGAAAAACTCTGAGGCAAACACAAAGAGTGTTAGAAAAGAAACTCAGTTTAAAATAGTTTTAATGCATCAACCTTCTTGGATGTGTGTGTTGTGACAACCCTGCCAGGTCACTGGGTGTCTTTGGCTTTGCTGCTGTTTTATTTTGTTTAATTTCAGTAAACCTGTAACTTTGTGACTATCTACCTCGGATCAGGAGCATTATACCAAATGAATCACACCTTGTATGTGACGTCACCCGCTGCACATTATGTGTGTGACGCGCACCCACACACTCTCCCTCTTCTATCATCTGGGAAGTAAAGTACAATGCCAACTTTCACCATCAAGTGACAGGGGATGGTTACAGGTTGCCTTTCATTCATAAAACTGTGTCTACATATGTAAACATTAGTTTTGTGTAAGTGTGCGTTCTGGCTGGAGGCTCATCAGCAGGATCAGCTGCAACTGGGCCTGGTGCAATCTGTCTGCAAAGAGCTGCTGGTTTCTCTTATTCACCCTCTGACTCCCTGATTCTTCTGGCTCTGGTTCTGGTCGACTGGCACTGCTCTGGTTTGGAGAACCATCATCTGACAATGACTCTTTAGCTTTTGTTCTGTTTAGCACATACACATTAACATACATTCCCCAATGACCTACACGACACTATGGATTTATCGTTGCCTTTTGTAAATAAAACTACTTTTTAACCTTACCAGCTTGTTTTGTCTCCCTACTTTGTCACAATCTATGAGCAAGGTTGTCACAGTTTGAGTGAACATAATTAATATTATAGCTCTTGTTTCCAATCCAAAAAGAGGAAAATCTGTGTATCTTTTACAAACATCTATAAGAACAAGTTGTAAAATTAACAAAATGAACTTACCCGCTGCAGCTGTGAGAGCAAGAACTGAAAGGAGCAGGATAGCTTTCATGTTGATGATGAGGAGGAGGATGATAAAGTGACTGGAGGCCTGCTGGGAGTCAGAGACAAGTCAGTTACAGAATATGTTAACATGAACAGTCAGACAGAGAGAGAAAGAAGGCAGCTGTCTTACCTGTCAGTTGAATATCTGCTGATGCTCAGGTATCAGGTGAGTGATGAAGAGGAGGTTGTCCGGCTCTTTATATACACACACCTAAACCTGAGCTTTGACCTTGGGCTGAACGTGAGTGTGTTTGTTTCAAAGTGTGTTCAATCAACGTGCCCCAGTTTGCGAGAATCGAGGCCAATAAGGAAGCACTGATAGAAACATTCTTCTGATAAATTACTGATAATAAAATATGTTCCAGCACTAATGATAACGAAGGATTCTGTCTGACATGATTCTGACTGACACACTTTCGTCCGCACGTACAGTGCTATTGGAAAAAGACTTGATTAATGATTAATGTGTCATTATTAAACACTCTGAAAAAACTCAAAGCTCAGTAAGTGCTAAGTGAAATGAAAGTAAATGCAAAGTCAAAGTAGAACATTTTAAACAACCTCAGTTGACTCCTGGCTGTACAGGTGTAAAACACATGATAAAGAACAAATTTGCATAAAATGATCTATGAAAAATAAAATTAACAGATGAATATATATCTGGAAGGATGGACTGACTGATATGCTTGAGATGACCAGGGTTCAAGGATTCGGATGGTTTGGTCGAGATGCCTCGTCTGGCTGCTGTGAACGCTGCACTGATGCAGATTAAGGAAATAATAGTGTCCCAGACGTGATGTCTAAGAAATGCAGGATCTTGTGAAAATGTTTACCATATTCCTGTCTCAGTGATGTAGTGCGGTTCGTGAGGTAACGCCTGAGCTGCATACTTAGTGTTGATTTGTTTTATCAGAGGCTTGTATGGGCTTGTATGGGAAAGATGTAGGTGGGGTAGAGGTTCCCAGCTGATCTGTTTTACTTTGATGGAGCGTGAATATGAGGGACTCTGAAGTGTGGATGGTAATGTCAGATAGCTTAGGATGGTGGGATGGATTGCAGACGGATGAAGTTGAAGGAAATTCAGAGCATCCGAGGAACCCAGAAAGCTATAAGGAACATGGATTCGAGAGTGGAATTGATTGTAGGGGGTGAGTAGCCTGAACGTAATGTATGGATGCAGAGGCTGAGAAGGTCAGAGGTGAGTGGAAGGTGCTTGATAGCAACCGCAGGTTCCTGTTTCCTTAGACTTTTGATCAACATGATTAAGTAGTAATGAGAGACAGAAGTGCAATGGGGTTGCAGTAGCTGATTGGATAAAAAAGTTCATTCTGGCTAGATAGGTCTGAATAGTGGAGGACCAGATTTATGGATGGCATGAGCATGGATGATGAAGTTGTAGATGAACGCAATGTCCAAAGATGGAAAATATGACTGGTATGCAGAGTGATATGCTTTAAGCATTTCCAGCTAGTTAAATAGGCAGGCGATGTACTGGCAGCTGTTAAGAATGGCTGAAAATGGTGGGACTGATGAGGGATGCAAAGGAGAATAGAGACAATAAATTAGCGATGGTGTCGTGGTAACCCAGAATGTGGGCTGCTCTGAGGATGAACTGGTGATGTGATGAGAGTGACCTTAGTCAGCGCAGAAACAACATGATGGCTGGGGAATGAAGACAGCCTTTGTTGATGATTTTGACAACGGCTGTGTTATCTGAGTGTAGGAGTATGGATTTATTTGACCATTCATGCCCCAAAAGTATTTCAATGATGATAATCGGGTAGAGCTCATGAAGGGCAGATGAAGGAGTATGGGATTCAGAGTTCATAGTATGTATTTCTGGGGCCAGATGGAAGCGACCATCTTCCTCCATAGTAGCCATCAAAGCCTATGGAAGGGACAGCGTCTGTATGAAGCTAAATGTCTTCTGGTTGGGTTTTGGAGTTGTCATAGAAGAAGGAAACGTTGTTCAAGGAAGACAGGAAATATTGCCACGTGTGCATTTCCTATTTTACAAGTGTCGTTAATGAGTACTCTGTCATGGATAGAGGGGATGCTGCGGCTTTGTCAGAAAGGTAAGGGAGAAAGGATTTAGCCTGAGGAATAATGCGAATAGCATGAATGAGGTGGCCAAGAAGAGGAGGGGAGTGCTTTGCAGGATTTATTTTCTTCAGGCAGTGATGGCTAGAAGGAAATTGAGTCGAGGGTGATACCTAGAACTCGATGGAGGTACCAGACCCTACAGTTTTCAGTTCAGAAAGTGGGACTCCAAGCTCTGAGAAGGTTTTTGAGAAGGTGAGGCGAACAGAAAAATAATATGATCCTTTCCAGCATGCCCCAAAGTAGCGCCAGAAGTTTGGGTGGATGGGTAGGACTTTTGAAGGCACTTGTTATTTCTGCCTTGGAAAGCCGGGAACCGTGGCCTGGTAAGCGATGAGAGTGCTGGCATGGTTGATGGATGCATAGTGCATGGATAAGTCAGGACAAGGAATGACACTGTTGATACCTAAAAGGAAAGATCAGTAGGAATAGGAGGAGGATGAGGATACCTATTACACCTATGATTATGTGTAACTTAGGGCTCCCTGAGAAGCTGGCCGAGAGAGCGGTAGGAGCAGGAGCAGTTGCAGACTTTTGTATATTCCTAGTGCAATTAATGCTCTTAACATTGTTTTAAGGAAAAGTGACATTATTATTTTTCTTGGTTGTATTCGGTCAGGTTGTGTTGCTATGTCCCATGTCTTTTTATCTGTTATCTTTACGATGCTGTAAATCAAATCTCCCTTCCAGGAATAATAAAGGTCTGAACTGAACTGAACTGGAGCCTTGTTTGTGTGAAAGAAGGGCAGAGGAAGGGATGATGGGATGTAAGGATGTATGTGCACAGGGATTTTGTGAAGCCTGCGAACACAAGGATGAAAGAAAGCTATGATAGCTTGAGGGATCGGACACAGGGGGAGAAGGCACAGGGGGTGATACGACCTTTACCCCACCAGGGAGAGCTACCGCTGGAGGTAGTGGCTGTAGAAGCGGCCCCCAGTGACTGAGGCCCGGTGACAACACGCATGAAGTCTGTGGTGGTGGAATGGATGCCCTTCGCTTTCATGCATCATCGGAGGTGATCGACGGTTTAGTCTCTGATGCCGAACTCTCTTTTAGATTGGGGACCGGCATACAGCACCGTGATGGGTAGCTGGCTTCTGCACTGTGAAAGCGGCAAGAAGAGGGTTGGGTCTGGGTGCTGTGGCTATGCCTGTAGCTTATTCGGTTTGGGTGTCCCACTGATGGTGGAGATGAGGCCTGGGATCCGATTTTTTTTTCGGGGAGTTTGAATGGAGATGGCGGTGCAGCGTTATGCTCACCGCGGACTGCCAACGGCTCTGCTAGGATGCTGGACTGATGTCTGACTGCTGTTCCAAGGGTGGATGATAACAGGTTTCGAACAGTTCATCATACAGGTCTTCATCAGAGTTGTGCAACTGAAGTTCAGGATCCATGGTAAATAGCCTTTTTCGTATTTTAATGTGTGGTCAAAGAACTGAGACAAACAGGGTGGAGTGGGATTGCTCAGTAGAAGTAGGCTTGTGATTGAGGTGTGGTTTGGGCAGAGTACTGCTCCCAAACCTAAGATAATATATCAACTTAATTAATTGAAGGAAGTAAAACGCCATAGTGTTTGGCCTGACACGCTAACTGAGTGGGAGATTTTTGGTCAACGAGAACCAAGTTTAGTTCACTCTGGAGACAGAGAAGAAGAAGAAGAGTCGTTGAGCTCTGTGTCAACGAGTGATATCCAGCACCCGGCACGCAATTCTTTGTATTTCTAAGTCTGAAAAGGAGCTTTCGATGACTCATAAATCGTCATTTTGCGTCATTGGCGGCTGTTGTGGTTAGCGGGATGAAACTACAATGCTAGTTCCTCATATTTTCGACCACTGAAGCTACAGACCTATCACAGATCAGTGGGTGGGACCTCACTCCCAGAATCAAAACTTGTGCTGCGTTCCATTTACCTCGGAACTCGGAACTGGGATTGACTGTCATGATTTGGTTTTGTGTTTAAGTTTCCCTGTTTTATCCCAGTGTTGCTTGTTTCCCTTGTGTGTTAATGTTTCCTAGTGTTCATGATTTCCTACTTTTGTCTTCAATGTTTTCTGTTTTATTTTGTCATTTATTATCCTCGTGTATCTCTGTGTTCTAGTGTGTTTTGTTAGACTCTTGAGTTCTGTGTGTCTTTAGTGTTTCATGATTTATTTTGTATTGTCCTCAGTGTTTCTGGTCTTGTGTTTCTCCCTGCCTTGATTGCCCTGATTGTCTTCACCTGTGTTGTTAGTCTCACCTGTGTCTGATTACCCCATGTCTATTTAGTCTCTGTGTTTCTTCCCTTCTGTGTCAGTTCATTGTATGTGTTTGTCGGTTGTCGTATGGCAGTTTACCCGTGGCTCCTTGTTTTCTCCTGTTTTGATTTTTGTTTAATTAAATATTTTTTTCCTCCACTTGGTTTTCTCGATCTGTGACAATGACGTCACACCCAAGTAAACTGCGTTCCAGTTGCAAGTCTGAAAAGCAACATGGACGCGTCCAGGACTACCTTTGTTTTGTTAACTAATACCAGACGATAACAACACGCTTCATGATAGTTTCTGACAGAAAATAACATGAAAACACCTCCACAGAGAGAACTTCCACGATACCATCGGTCTTATTAATTTAATTACACAAAAAGACGACTAAGCTGATAATAAACACAACAGTTACATCTTAAACATCCCTTTCGATGTACGTAGCAACCATATTGGATCTGAACGTGAGCTACTTCTTTTTTCTCCCAGTTTCTGAGTCATAATTATGACTTCAGGGGGCATCCCAGTTGACTTTCGACTGGGAACTGGGAATATCCTACTTACGAGATCACCTGGAACGCACCATTAACGTTCACTATATTGCTTGGAAGCTATTGGTGCGATCCAGTTGACCTCCTACGTGGGTAATGTAAAGAAGTGGCCTGTCGTGCTGTGCATTCTGGAATTTGGTGTCTTTCATCCACATGAGCCAAAAAGGCACTTTCTGCCTTTCCTCGGCCAAGAAGGCATTTCTACTACATATATGACCCAATGTCAATACAGACTCATGTTTCAACGAGTGAAGTATCCCTGTAATGTTAGCTTAAGTTAATTATTAAGGGAATTGGCTGATAAACTTAAATCAAAGTCAATATCTTTATTAGTGTTTTAACTGCAAT